TGTGCAGTGGGTGCGGTTTTCTCAATTCTATAGGGGCATTCCTGTACTGTGAGGTGTGTGGCACAACTCGCTTGCCCTGCACACCGTCGCTAGAGAAACGACGGGGTTCTTTGGAGGCAATTGTCATCACTGACGACGATGACGATGAGAAGGAGGGATATTCCTCATGTGACAGTGAAGACGTTGTGGTGGTGGTGGTCTGACAGGCCAGGTTCGTATGGGTTGTTTTCTTTGGATTCCTGTTTGATTATTATTACTATTATTTTTTTCTATTTGTGTGTCTGTGTGTATTCCCGCCGATGCTGTATGTATTGGCTGGAGAAAAAAACAAAAACAAAAAAATGGATCAATGCGTCACGTAACATCCTGTTCTGTTTTTTTTTTTTTTGTTGTTGTTGTTTTGGTTCTGTGATGTTTTTCTCCTCTATTGACGCATTGTCTTTTGTTTTCTGTTTTTGTTTTTTGTTGTTATTTTTTTCACTGGACTCGTGCGCCTCCTATTTTTCTGTCTGTCTTTATCTACGGGCCCATGCATTACACGACCGCCACAAAAGAAGAGAGGGCAAAGAGGAGGTAACTGCCTCGTTGATTCTTCGCTCGTGTCGGTGTTCTTGTGCATGGCGGTGGACGCTGCGTATGCGAACCTGTTTGGCGTGGAGGGAAAAGCGGCTGTGCTCGGATGCGATGAGCTCGGACTTGTTCCGCGGGATTTACTTCACATCCCCAAGAAGTCGCTCGAGCGGGCGGGTGACGATAAAAATGCGGTGCTCGTTCGGTACACATTGATTGAGCGTGCACGGCAAAATAACATACGGAAAGTTTTGGCGATTAAAAATCACCTCATCGCCGACGGTGACGTGCAGAAGAAGTGGAAGGAGCGCTGCAAACTCTTTCCCGACGCCCCCGGTGTGCCGAAAATACCGAAGGCCGTGATGAATAAGTTGATGACGGAACTGGACACCGAAACCGACGACGATGATAACATTGACGAACTCGGCCTTACCAAACCCATGCCGCGGTATGGGGATCCACCGGCATCACTCGTTGCTGATGGCGCGAACCGAGAGGCATCAAATGCCTCTTCCTCGACGTCATCAAGAGCCCGGTTCTCTCCCGACAGGCTGCGAAGATGGAACGGTTCCAAAGCATCCAACCCACTCTCCCTCAGCTCGAAGGAAAAACCTCTTAAAAAGAAGGGGCATACCCGTAAATTGAGTAAATTTTGGATAAAACATGCTGCGGATACAAATAGTGGGAAAATTTCAAGCGGTCGTCTTTCAGGAGACAAACGTGATACGTTTTGGCGCCCAAAACCTCCACTGGATCCACCTTTCCTGCCGCCATTGCCATATCCACGTCGTGACGCCGTTACACTTAAAATGGAGTTGGAAGAATTGAACGAATATCGTCAGTTTTTGCTGCGGTACGCACACGACAGTTCTGCAATGGCGCAGGAATATCATGACTTTACAAAGTCCTTGCAGGAGGATAACAATACCAGAGAAAAATTTAGGAACAGGGCCGCAACTTACACCGTAGAAGGTTCAAAGTTTGTGAATGAGGATGAGTTAACTCCATTAGGGCCTGCAGATGGTGGGAATGTTACCAAGTCGACATTTACAAAGGGTGGCATATCAAACCATAAGCGACAGCTTGATGCTTATGTGCGTCTGGCACGGTTAGAGATTCGAAGAAACATTTCAAACTACAAGAAGTGGAACGGGTTTATGGAAGAGATGGAAGGTGTGGAGTCGACAGGTACCATTGCGGCAGATGTACGTGCTCGGTTGAACGTGGGTAAGCTTCCCATCTTTGAGGAATATGTGCAAATGGTGAGGGAGAGGACAAAGCGGCGAGAGAATATGTTGTTGAATGATAAGCGAAAACAGGAAAGACTCAATGCCTTCTGCGAAGCCAAGGATCGTCACACGGAAGAAAACATAGAAAAGATAAAGAGAACACAAACAAATCTCTTTATGGAGTCGCAGGTGGTTCAAAGTGAGATCAAGAGGCGGAACCGAGAGTACGAAAATCGACGACGCAGAATGAGGGAGCACCGAGTGCAGGTGGGCCTGGCAAAGAAGGAAATGGGAGCTACCGAACGTCATATGAAGCTACTTTTTCGTGCAAAGGAGAAGCGTTTTGAACACGACGCAGAGGAAATTTTTAGACGGTTACTGAAGGAGAAAATCCACGCAATGGACGCGACAAAGAGGTGGGATATAAAATCGGTGCGCGCTCCCTAGGTTTACGGTAGAGCTACGGTGATGTAAAAGAGAGATGTAATTTGGAAAAGCGGCGACAACTGCTTTCAGTTTTTTTTTTTTTTGCATTCTTTGGTTATTGTTGTTGTTGTTGTTTTTTGCTCTTTCTTTTCCCAGGTTTTCTTTTTGTTGGTGGTGGTGTTCTTCTCCTGTCGTTGGCGTTTTTTTCTTTCTTCCTGTGCGTAATTATTTATGTGTCTATTTATGGTGTTGCATCCAACGTGTGTGTTTTTGGGTGGGATGTGTGGGAGCGAGGGATAATGAATTCTCGCCGGGCCTCCATCGCGCGGCGGTGGGGGTTCTGCTTGGTGGTTTCATTTTCTCCCATCTCTCCTGCCGTGTTTTTTGTTTTGTTTTGTTTTTGTTGTTTTTCGCAGAACGTAGGGTAGAGTGCATTTGATAGGCGCGGGTGTGCATCTGACGAGAGGGGAGGGGGAGGAGGCGGTGAGGGTTTTTTTGTTTGTTTTGTTTGAGGGACCTGACGGATTTTACCGCGTTGGTTGCGAGCGGGGATTCATGACGGGGAACTTTGAAAAGTCTCACGAACCATTTGCGAGCAGCAGCACGGATGCGGATGATGGCTTGACGGCGTCCCCAAAGTTTTACAGCTACCGCCGGATAATTGCTCTTCCCGCCACTCCACCGGACGCCGCTTCCGCCCCACGGGTGAATGGGACTGCTTCCACGCAACTCCCATCCTTCTGCCCTCCTCAGCGAGAACGCTCAAGTCTTTTAGCGGCAGATCGCGTGACGTTTGTTTTGTCGCAGGTGACACCGTCACCTCGCGCGGTTGAATTCACGGTGATCCTGCATGTGTACGACCTGAGTCGCGGCCTTGTTAACCGGCACAGTGAGGAGCTCCTGGGTTTCAACGTTCCTGGCCTCTACCACAGTGCGGTGGTGTGTTACGGGATGGAGTTTATTTTCGGGGGTGGAATAGCCGTCATGGGCGCTGGTCATACTCGTTTTGGGAAGAAGTATAAAAAAATTCTTCTTGGCACAACTAAAAAGACACTTAGTGAGTTTATGACGTGGATTCGTGAGCGTGAGAAGGACACATATCATTTGAATGCCTATCACCCGACAAAAAACAACTGTCACACCTTTAGCAAGGACGCGGTGGCATTTCTGCTTGGACCCAACGGTTCCATTCCGTCCTTTCTCACAACCGTCATTGAGCATCTTGTCAAAACAAGGCTGGGTCAAGGCGTATTGGAAGTGTTGACGCATTATCTCATATACCCAAAATGCATCACGAATCGTCTGCTGAGGGAACATATGCTAGAACGAAAAAAAAGTGCGATGTCTATTGCGCAATCTGCAGTAGCATGTGAGCTAATGTCACAACCACCGCCATGTGTTGTTCTCTTTCATGTTGATGATGCCGCCAAGTGTCGTCAAGTCTTTGAGGGACTTATGCCGTATGTTGAGCAGTTGAAACAACGCGGAAAGGTTGATCAAAGCGCCAAGATGATATTGACATCTACATTTATTATCAGTACAGGAGCCGAGTTAATAGATCCGACGATCGCCTCGGATTATATTGAATTGGTTGTACGTATTTTGATGTACACGCATACAACGTTATGGGGACCTGTTCTTAATTCTCTGCGCATTGCTCTGTTACACAAGGTGGTGCTATGTGCATGTGTGTTTCATCCTACTCTTCTTGCTTTGCTGGCGAATGGTGTGCGGGATTTTTTAAACATGACTCCTGAAGGCAAGCTTTCTTTTTTGCGGGTGTTGTGTAATTTGTCCTCTGGTCTTCACGGCGCTCTTGCACTGAATTCCAGCCGCTTTGCGCTTATGTGGGTAAGTGTGGTCGGACTGGCGCTTGCAGATTATAGAAACGATGCCATTGTTTACACGGGAGCTTCACTGGCTGTAAATTTGGCGCATGCATTTGTACTGACAACAATTCCTCGGGTGTCAAAGGATCATGGTGTACTTTTTTCTTTTCATCGCATTCGTCAGTTGATGACAATACTTCTTTTTTATTTACGTCACTGGCCCCCAAAACGAATACCGGAGGCAGCTATGAACATGATGCTTCTTGCTCTCTTTTTCCTCATGTCCAGCTACCCAGAAAACGTGGAGTTTGCGGCAACTCATGGATGCAGGCTAAATTATGCTTGCATGCTACAGAGGGCGCAGACGAACGAGAGTAAAGCATTACTTTGTCTCATGCATGCTCTTGAGCAGTGCGGACAAATGAGTTGTGTCAATGTTATCAGCTGAGAGTCTCTGAGCGCATAAAGAAAGAAAATTGTTTTTGGACAAGAAGGGCGCATTTTTGATCTTCGCCATGCTAATTGTGATGATGATGATTTTGTTATTGTTGCTGTTGTCGCTGTTGCAGCAGCAGTTGTTTGATTGGCAGTGTTTCCCATTTTGTTTGTTGTCTTGATTATTTTTATGGACGCTTTAAGATTTTTTACTTGTTTAAACTGAATTGTCGGAGTATATCTTTTTTTTTTTCTTTAGGTTCCCCCTCCCAACTGCCGCTGCCGCCGCCGCCCTGTCTGAAGCGAAAATGTTTGTATAGGCAGATGTGCCTTGTTCTGGACTCCGCTCATTTATTATTATTATTTTTCTTTTTTTGCGCTTTTCCTTCTTGGGAATTTTTCTATTTGCTGCAATGTTTGTGTGAAATTACCCTCTGATTGTTTGAAGTGAGGGGGAAGGAGCATATTTAAGAACAGAGGATCAGTTCCTGCACGTTTTTGCGTTGGTGAGATGCTGCACGCGGCTGTGAAACCTAGTCTTCCAGCGTCAGGCGTCACACATTCTCTTGTCGGGCAATTTTCTGCCGGGCTTCCGGCAGGGGTGAGAGAGTTGATTCTGTTCAAGAAGAATAAACTTGAGCTTTGGCGTATTTCATGTGGCGAGGAGTGGGTGTCCTCCCTTTCTTATGTCGCCAGCACACAGCTGAACGCACCACCGGTCTCCGTTGCCATCTGCCGGCCTCCTGGGTTTGCTGTTGACGTTATCGCCATGTGCCTTGATGATTTTCATGTTTCATTTGTTCAGTACGACCCAGTTCGTATGCGTCTTTCCACGTTGGCACTCGTTCAGTTGGACGACCGGGAGGTAGTGAATGATGTGATGCCATTGGAACCCATCATGCGTGCGGATCCAACAGGTCGCTTTGTTGCAGTTTTGGCACGCCGTCGTCATATGTTCTTGATTCCCTTGTTGGGTCTTACTCGGTCCGAAAATGGTGATTGCGTCACCGGAATTCATTTGGAGGCTGAAAATAACACCAAACTGAAGGAGGCCATGACACCTGTAGATGATTGGGGTGATGAGGACGACTACAAGGGACTTGCTGAGGAAACGGATCCATCCATTCCGCCCGAGAAGGAGACGACGGTCCATATAGAGCCTGAGAAACACGATTCGAGGGTTGCAGATGCCTTTGATGGACTACTGCACATTGGTCATCTCTCCATGTTTTCCGTCTCACTAGCAGTAAATGGTGTCATTCGCTATGTTCGGGACATGCAATTTATTGAGTCTTCAGGAGAACCCATTGTTGCCTTTTTGTGCGAACGGCACCCTACATGGGCGGGTCGTGTGAAATTGGTGGAATGGCGCACTAAGGCGGTTGAATCTAAAATGTTGTCATCCCAAATTGTTTGGGTCCAAATATCGGCTGCATCCACGTCCAACCGAAAGTTACTCCTCATTGGCGAGGTCGACGATGTGCCATACAACGTGACACACATGACTCCCGTCGGGCCATTTTCACAGATTCCCTCCGGTGTCATTTGCTACGGAATCAACACTGTGATGCACGTCACAACAAAGAGAGGGTATGGAGTCTATTTGAACAATGGCGGAATGGAGGAGTGTGCAAACAGCAAGTCATCCGCCATGTCGTATGGAAAGGTGGGTTGGTGCGATCCGAAGATGGAAGCCTCGACGGCTCTTTTCAAGGTGAATCTCTCCTTGGCAAACTGTACTGCTTCCTTCATGAGCATTGTAAACGAGATGCTTCACTTACTTGTCGTATCGGAGGAAGATGGAGTGGTGCTAACACTTTCCATCACGGCACAGAGCTCATCCGTTCAAGGCATTCGTATCGCCATCCTCGGTACCGGCTGCTACTGTTCAGGCATTGCCCGTATTGGAGATCAAATTGTGTTTTTGGGTTCCGCCTGCGGCGACTCATGCATTGCTAAAGTTGACATGTTCCACAGCGATGTTGCCAAACGATTTCAAATTATAGAAAGCATGGAAGCTATTGGCTTTATTTCGGATGTTGACGTTGTGGACTGTACTTCGATGGATGAAACCGACCCGAATCAACTAAATGGTGTAAATAATTCTTCCTTGTGTGACACACCGTATGCTGAGTTGCTGGGAAGAACAATATTGGAGCCGATGCCAAGCGTGTCAATCGCGGAGTGTCGTGCGGTAATGGATTTGGCCGTCTGCGCGGGTCGCGGTGGGACCGGTTCTCTTTTTGTGTTGCGACAGTCCGTCCGAAACAAAGTCTTCCGCCGCGAGAACGTGAACGCAATTTCTGCATTCTTCTTGGAAACATCTCAGGTGCATAAACGCTCGCGTGCGGAGCATGAGGGGGAGGAAGGAGCGACACAACATCCACCGCAGCCATCGCCACCTTACTTACTTCTCACGGGGCTTTCATTCACACTTCTTTTTGCTGTGCGTGGGGAATCATTACTGCACGTGCGTCGCTCCGAGTTCCTCACGGCATATCGAACGGTGTTCGCAACAGAGATCCCATGGTTGAATGCCCTGCTGCAAGTGACAGAGAAGGAGGGGCGCCTAATATCATTTGATGGGAAAACACTACTGCAGAAGTTCAATTTTATGTCAGAGCGGGAGGCGGGGAAGAAGCGATTTGTTAAAGCTGCTTCTATCGCAGCGGATTTAATGCTCTTTTTTCCTCTCTTAGAGGATGGGACTCTTTTTCGACTTGCGCTGAAGGCAGCAAAAACGGCTCCCACCAAGGAAGTATTTGCAGAGGGAGTCACTGCCTTTGCCTTGTGGCCAGAGCAGCGGCGTGTGGTAATTTTTTTTACGGATGGTACCATGACTATCAAGGAGATGGAATCTTGCGAAGTGTGTGCAACTTTCCCACAGTTTGCCAATTTGCCGCAGTACAGCACTCCTGCCACTGACGAATCGAATAAAGAGGCACGTGATGATGAAGCACTACCTCAGGTGTCTCACGTGGAGATAGTCACAATGCGCGACGATAACACGGTAGAGGCGACAGCACTTGTTGTCATTCTTACTACAGGGGAATTGGCCGTCTATAAGGTTATCTCGTCCGACGCTTTTGGCCCGCTTCGCCTAAAGAAGTCGATGCATCACTTTTTAGATCATAAAGCAGAACGTGAGGTGATTGAGTCTATTGAAATGAAGAGAAAACGGTTGCAGCGGGAACGTGGAGTGGTTGAAAATGACACCCAATTAATGCGACAGTACAGTCGCCGCATTGTTCCTTTTGATGCCATTGGTGGAAATACAGGGGCATATGTGTGTGGACAGCACCCCCTATTTCTTTTCTGGGACCGACGAACGCGGGAACTTGAGGCATACCGTCATCAGACATTAGGGCCTGTACGTGGGTTTGTGCCTTTTCGAATAATAAATTCCGGATACATCTACTGCTGTGAGGGGTTTGTCGATTTTGCCTCTATGGACACATATTGTCGGCCAACAGGTCAAGGATGGTTAACTCGCCGCATTCACCTTGGCGTTACTCCCCATTTTGTGGTGTACCATCCGCCAGCAAGGAGCTGTTTTGTTGTGACATCAAAGAAGGAGCCTTTTCGACCTCAAAGAGCTCCGTTTGACGTTCAATTAAACATTGTGTACGATGAAGAGTCGGGCGGTGTCCAGAGCATTACAACCGAGGCACCTGTAAGTAACATGCCACCCATTGCCCCAAATGCAGGTATTCGTGTGCCAATGGCAGATCGATTTGAAATTCGCTTGATGTCTACCACAGACTGGGCTTGCACGGATACACTTCTCCTGGAAGAAAATGAGCGAGTACTAGGGGCACAAATGATGGAGATTCAGTGTGAGAGGGATGCAGAGGGTCTTCATACGGCACCTGTCTGTGTTGTGAGTACAGCCTTCCCTCTTGGGGAAGATATTACCTGCAGGGGCCGCATTCTTCTTCTTGCAACAATTTGCACGAAGAAGAAGCGGAAGATTGTTCTTTTTCATTCGGAGCCCTTGAATGGCCCAGCCACCGCGGTTGTGGGGATTCGTCACCACATTGCCGTTGCCGTGGGTGGGACGATCAAGCTATTTCGCTTTGATTGGAGCAACAGGAAACTGGTAGTAGGGGCTTTGCTGTATGCAGGGACTTATGTGACGAGAATGTCTTCTTTCCGCAACTACCTTATTTACGGAGACTTGTCGCGTTCTTGCGCAATTGCCCGCTTCAACGAGGAGAATCACACACTGAGTGTGCTTGGAAAGGATCGCAACGCCGTGTCGGTGGTTCATTGTGACATGATGTACCACGACCGTGCGTTCGGTTTGTTGTGCTCTGATGACGAGAGGAATTTGCTTGTGATGGGTTACACGCCACGTGTGCAGGAAACTGAGGCAGGGAGTCCGAACAAGGTGCTTGAGTCTGTCTTGTCGCTTGATGGGGAGTATCGTCTTTCTGGTGGCTGCTTGGTTAAGTCTCTGCGTTTCCGCTCCCTCGCTGGAAACTCCAGTGTCACGCTTTACGTCACCAACTATGGCGAGATTGGGTTCATTGTACCGATTGGCGAGCAGGCGAATCGGACGGCGTCATGGCTGATGCGTCGTCTTCAGATTGACCTGCCGCACAGCGCAGGACTCACCCCTCGAATGTTTCTTGGTTTGAGTCAAGGCTCGCCGCGGACGGCAATGCGGGCGAAGGAAATGCTCGTGTCTGCCTCGCTGCTGAACGAGTTCTTTTTCCTTGACATTCACTCGCGAAAGACCATTGCGTCTGCCGCCTACACGCAGTTGGAACGCGTCACCAACGTCGCTTCCCTCGTTTACGAAGAGTGCAATTTATTCTAACCGCTCGCTCCTTCTCTAACACTTCTCCTCTCACGTTTGTTTGTGTTTGTGTGTGCGTTCGTTTATATAACATAAGTTGGGCGGGGAGAATAAAAAGGAGACAGACAACAAACAAACAGAAGAGGAAGAAAAAAAAAAAAAATCAAGGAGTCCATCGAAAAGGAGGCGTAAGAGATGAATGGGTGTGGCACATGAAAAATGTTATTGGATTTGTGGGATAATATTGGGCGTTGTTTTTTTCTTTATGTTGTTTTTTTTCTCCCTCTCTTGTAGTTGACTGCAAACGAACTTAGACGCCATCTTGCGTTGCTTCATCTTTTTGTTGTTGTTATTTTTGTTTGTGTGCCCCAGCGAGACGGGAATAAGCGAAAACCGTGAGGGGAAAAATGCGCCGTTTTTCGTGCGCCATTTTTATCTCACACCGCTACGTCTCGGTTTTTAGGCCCCATATTCATTTGTCTCCATGCGTCATTTGCGACGCTGCAGCGGGGGATTCTCAGGAGACATTTGGCACTTCGCCTTCATGTGATTATCCTCCGCCTAATTTTTTTCCACCGCCGGATGTCAGGAATGACTGCGTCGTGGAACAGACAAGTAGCGGATGGTCCACCACTCTGGAAAGGCGAAGAGAGGGTTTGAAGAAATGGCTGCAGAAGGAACATGAGTGGGTCGGCGGGCATCGTATGGTAAATAGTGCGTACCTCGAGAGTTGCTGGGAGGCCTTCTGCAATCCCGCACGGACACTAACGAAGGACGAAATTGCAGGCACGATCGACTTTCTTGCTCAGTTCTGTGAGGTAAAATTGGATGATGTTCCCACTGAAACTTCAGCTAGCTCAAATTTCATGCGTCAAGAGACGGAGCAACCGCAATGTCAGAATAGCGTCCCAAGCAGAGTTTGTCATGGGAAGGAGGAGATGTCTAAAAACGTCTTTCTAACTCACGTTCAACGATCGATTTCGGCATTGGCAGAAATTGAGCGGCAATTGCTCTTTCAACGCACACTTTTAGATTTTTTTGGTGTGACAAACTCTCTTAATGTGCCACTTTTTTTGTGTTGTGGCACAGCGTTGGGAGCTCACCGTGAAGGGTACTTTATTCCCCACGATAATGACATTGACGTGGGTGTGTTCTATGAGGACTTGCAGCGACTCGGTGGGACGATGGAGGAGGATGCGCAGTCCGCTGTTGTTTCGCTATTATCACATGTGGCCTTGGACGGCCACTTTGTGCTGCTGGACATCTGCGGGACGGTCGAGAAGGGACTGGAGTTGCGTTTTTTGCATCATGAGACGCGAGTGGCACTTGACTTAAATGTGTACTATCCGCCTCTCGCAGATGATGCGGCGCTCATCTCTCAGTTTGGCCCATTTGTGTGGACGGCATCGCACTATGAAGACGCGGGTTCTCGTCGCCACGGCATGTACCGCTACCGTCACGCATCCTTCCGCGAGGCACTGATTCGTCTGCCATTCTGCGACCCCGCTGTGGCATCACGGGCCGACGGTTTTCTTGTGCCCCCCGTGTCGTATCTTGTGGAGTACTTTGGCGAGGATTGGCGGACGCCGAGGGCGTACACGTACACGGAGGGGCTGCAAAATGGGGAGTATAAGAACATCATCGAGGAATGAACGCCACTCCCCCCTTCCTTCTCTTTCCACGTTCTTCCATGCCGAGCGAGTGCCACAGCAATTACATTCGTACGTCTCCGACTGGCGAAAAAAGGCGACTTCATGATAATAAGAGAAGGAAAAAAATGCCGGTTGGGGAAGGGCAGTGTACGCGCTGATGAGATGAAACGTAAAGGCACCGGGCAAAGAATTGATAGTGTGAAAGGGTCTGTGAGTTTGTAAGGCGCTGCATTCTCGTGTTCTTTCGCCATATCTTTTACTCTTTTGTCTCTCTTTTTCTCTTGTGGGCGTGGAAGCACATACAATAATAGTGATAATAATATTTATTATAAATAATTAACTTGATTGGGAAGGGTTCATTAAGAAAAAACAGACAAGCATACAAATACGGGCAAACCACGTCTAAATAAGACACAATAATAAAAAAGAAAAGAACGCAAGTCGTAAAAAAGACAACGACGGGTCATAATTAATTTAGTGCGCCGTCATGTCAGCCTTCAATCCCGATGCGCCTGCGTTTATTCCGACATTTCTTCGTCGCACTGGGTCCAATGCCGTCGGAGATGAGGAACTTAGCAACGAGGCGTCATCCACATCCGCTAAGCGTCCTCTCGTCTTCCTCATCTTTGGTTGTCGTGGGGCGGGGAAGACGACACAAAGCGAGCTTCTCGCGAAGGAATACAATCTGCTGCATATCTCCTCCGGAAACATTTACAGGCAAGGGAAGCAGCCATTTGTGGAGCTACGACGGGTCTTGTTAGAGGAATTTGGGGAGGGGGGAAAACGACGTTACAATGGTCTTGTGCTCGATCGCTTTGTTGTGAATAGCGAGTTTGATGCCTTTTACATACAGTCCGCCCTGGATGCCGTTAAACTTCCTGTTCCTTTTGTCTTTATGCTTGCTATAGATGCAAAATTGGCATCCAAGCGCGCAGAGTCACGTGAGGACAATAAGACGGCGCATCAATATTGGCGCGTGGTTGAGCAAAAGGCACAAGCCGTCACGCTCAACACAATCTATGCTCCGATTGGGTGTTTGAAGACTATTCGAGTCACAGAGGATGCCACCATCGAGGACGTCTTTGGAGAAATTAAGGCAACAATTGGAACCCAGTTGTCGGCGAATCCTGAAGGTATTAAAATTTGCCCTGCCGCACGCCATGAAGCAAAGGGCATGAAATTGATTGATGATTATGAAACTTACATGGAACTTGTTTGTTGTGTGCATGCAGCTGTGGGAAATGTTTCGGGACGAAAGGACACAGCCCCATTATCCGGCATTGGCGCATATCTAGATAGGGAATACTTCTCCTTTGGCCATAAAAATTTGCGCTCTTTATTGTCTACCTTTCATGTTACTTTAAAGGCCGATGGGCAACGTTATTTGTTGGTGAAGCACAAGCGTTATGGTTATATAGGATTTCCCGCTGCCTTCACACATTGTTATGATTTTAACAAATTATTTGATGGTGTTGAAATGAGTTGTGGTTTTCCGCCGGAAACCCAAAAATTTATCACGGATAATAAACACGACAATTCGGTGGAAGTACTACTTGACACGGAGCTGGTGATACATGATGGAAACCCGGTGTTTTACGTGCTGGACTATTTGTATTTGGGGGGCCTGGAGGGGAAGAAAATGCGGTTTGTGGCCCGGTTGAAGATACTTCGGGAGTTCTTTGGTCGTTTAGCCTCTGTCACACAGGCGGTTGTTTTAAAGGACTATGTCCCGATCAATATGTTGAGAACGCTTCTTCCGAAATGGAAAGAGGCTAAAATGCCTATAGATGGTTTGGTCTTTCAGCACAGCGGTGTTTACAAGATTGGGAGAGACAGATTTCTTGTGAAGTGGAAGCCCATCGAACACTGCACCGTTGATTTTCGTTTGGCGAATGGAATACTGAAGGGGGACAGTTGGACCTTCGAACTTATGGTCACGGATGATATCTCAGAAAACGGTGGCTTTGGGGAAATTCCATACGAAGGTGCCCTCGCAATTATTCCATCAACGGTCGTACAGGAAAATGGTCTGTGCAATGGAATTATTGTTGAATTGGCTCTAAAAGATAGAAAAGAGACGAATGAAGGGGTGTCGTCACCCCAGACAACAACATGGTGGTCGTTTAGATGTCTGCGCAATGACAAACCCTCCCCGAATAAGCACAGTATTGTTAAAAAGATTGTGGATTTGAGGCATTTGAGCTTGGAGGAACTCGTTGATTTGTGTGAGAAGGTTCCGTTTTATGGGAACACATGAGAATCACGTTTTCATACACGTAGTTATCCGTTTCACATGCGCACATAAATGCACACACATTGGATGAGAGGGAGGTGGGCGATGGCATGGGAATGAGACAAGTAGGTGACGGAGAGAGAAGGGGGGTGAGGAAAGGGAAACAAAACGGTTTTATGGATGAAAGTTGAATTCTTTTTTTTTTCTCTCCTTCTTCTTCTTCTTTTAGTGAAAGGGCTGTTGGTTTTTTGTTTGTTTTTACTTCCTGGAGTTTTCACTTTTTTGAATGACGGCAGCACACTTATTATTATTATTGCAAATAAACCCACTTCATATAATAATAATAATAATAATAATTTTTTTTTCTTCGGTGTGTGTGTGTGTGTGTGTTTTCACGGTCCTGTTGAGGAGTTGTTTTCTCTCTCTCTCTCTCTCTCTCTCTCTTTCCTTGTTTCCATCTACCACACTTCCTCGCTGATATAGGCACATAGATCCATTCGTGAATAAATGGACGCATTCATCTATTCATGTCCTCTTCTCTATCCAATATATATATATATACAATAGTATTGATGTATATTTTTTTTTTTTCTTAAGAATGCTGCATGTGTATCGTGCATGTACTCCAATTCTCCCGTGTATTAATGTGTTGCGGCTTTTTTCTTTTTTTTTTCTTCTTTTTTTTTTTAATAATATATATATGCGCGTATGTATATGTTTGAAAAAGCTGATATTTTTTTATTTTGAAGACTTACGTTTTTTTTTTTTTTGTTGTTGTTGTTGTTGTTTTTGTTTTTCTCTCATTTATTTCTCCTTTACCACCGTTGTTTATTATTATTTTATGTTGCCTCCGCACCCATTTCGTTGCCGCAGAGGAACTACACGACAGGCTAGACAGACACCACACACACACACACACAAACATATATATAATATATAATATTATTAAGGAAGAGGAAAAAGGAACCCCCAAAGGGAGAACCCTTCAGGATCAGGTTCAACACCCGCTAGTAACATAACCGGAAAGAAAGTAGCAGTACCCATGTCCCTAAATCCCAATGCAATGCCTTGGAATATGCCAGAATCCGGCATCGATCCAGTCATGGATACAAACACAAGGATGGGACAGCAGGACC